CACAGGTCTACAAAGCTGTCGTTCTTCTGGTGTCTCAGGGACTAACCGCGCAGTCTACCAGAAGCGCCACGACTTCAGCTGCCTGGGCCACCCAGTCATCCCTGGAAGAGATTTGCAAAGCGGCCAGTGGCCATGGGCATCCCTGTTTCCTTTCATCAGACATTACTGTCTAGATTCCTTTGCCTCTGCGAGTGTGGCCTTCAGCAGATGGTTCCACAGTCGGAGTGATCAGCCGGACGAGGACCCTCCCATGGACATGCAGGCTTTGGTATGTCCCATCCTGGGCTCTCATAGTAGCATGGAGGAGAATGAGCGTTGGTAGAATTACCTGAGAATGCCCTTTCTATCTATGCTGCTAGAGAGCCCAGACACTCCCTTGTTTCGTCTGGATTCTGATAAGAAATATTAACGTTCTAGATTATGTTTGGCTTTCAGAGACACTCACTAAAATCTGTCAAGCATCTTCGCCAAAGCTGAGGTCACTCCCACAGGCTGCCTTTTATACTAAACAGACTCAGCTTAATGATGTCATCAGAAGGAGTCTAACCCATCTTGGGCTATTTAGCAGCACAGATAGAAAGGGCATTCTCAGGTAATTCTACCAATGCCCAGTTTAGTCCAGGGGTGTCAAACTCAAGACCCGGTGCCAGATGCGACTCGCTCGCAATGTGGTTGGATCTGGCCCCCGGACTGTTTTGGAAAATGTAAGGGGCTGGCCCACATTGCTTCAGCCTGGTCTACCTGCCTTGCTTTGGCCCAGTCTACCCATGTTACTTTGGCCTGGTCTGTCAAATGTGAAGAAGAAAAACATCGGGGCAGTGTGGCTTCATCCCAGTCTATCCAATGCTAAGAGGAAACAGGTCAGCAGTTTGAGGAGTGGCATCAAGACTTGTCACACCCACCCAATCGTCATGCCCAGTGACTGGCATCAAGCAGGCCACGCCCACCCAGTTGGCCACGCCTGCCCGACTCCCCGAGGTCATCAACAGTCCTGATGCGGCCCTCAATGAAATTGAGTTTCACACCCCTGGTCTAGTCTTAATGAAAAGAAAGACTAGGAGTAGCATGACAGTCTTCCAATATTTGAGAGGCTATCAGAAAGAAGAAGGGTACAGTCTATTCTCAGAGCATCAAATGAACAGATTCTCAGAGTACAACAGATAACTGATAAAAACATATGAGAGTTCCAACCTAGAAGAAAATCTTTGGCTTGCTGGAATGGCTTGCCTTCAGAAGTTGTGACTGCTCCATCACTGGAGGTTTTTAAGACGAGATTGGACAGCCATTTGTCTGGTATAGAGTCTCCTATTTAAGCAAGGGGTTGAACTAGAAGGTCCCTTCCACCTCTGTTGTCCTGTACTCTATATTCTGAGAGATATGTTATGCTTAAGGAAAATGTTACGAGACCTGCTGTGAATTAAATTCTGTTGATACTTCTGTTGATAACAGAATCACAGGTGAAGTGTGTCAGAGTGGGATGCAGGAGACCTCAGGAGGCTCTGCTCAGGAGCTAAAAATCCTCCCTGCCGAATTTAAAGCAGGATGTTCAGCCCCACGGGGAAGGGTCAGTTATGCACAACCCTCTTGGGGCCTCTTTACTGCTCTGTCTGCTCAGGAGCTGAAAATCATCCTTGCTGAAATTCAAGCAGGATTTTCAGCTCTGCATCAAAGAGAGTCTCTCCCACTGCCTGAAGCATCCCTCATTCCTTACCTTATTACATTGTGTCTCTGCTTGGATTTCAATTCCCTCATCTCTGGGAGCTGGCTGAAATAGCTGCCTGCCAAAGGAGTTCAGCTCCCTTCCATGAATGGAAGGGAACTTTTCTGGTAGCATGCAAGAATAGAGCTCAAAACTTCAAGATTTGTGCTCCATTTCTGCACCTGCACAAAGGAGTTCAGCTCCACTCATCAGGCAGTTATTTCATCTAGAGTCCAGAGGCAAGAGGGAGTCACAGCAACCAGCAGCAGTTTGCAGCCTTCCCTGCCAGCATCCCTATTGACATTCTGGGGAAGATAATTGGAGAAGATTGCTAATAGTGATCACATTGCTTCACAATCAGTTGTAAGTGTAAATAGGTTGCCAAGCACCCAGATTGCAATCAAATAACCACAGGAATGTGGTGCATTGTTTTGTGATGACTGAAAGTGCATTATAGGCCATAGAGACTGTTGCAATTCTGTACTATTATCAAATTAATAATAGGTCAAGAACTATTTTATTGTATATGCTTTGCAGTGGGGTGAAAGAGAAAAATATTAAGTAGCTTCTCAGATTAATTCTATTTTTAAAGGAATTCTCATTACCATTGGAACAATGCATATAATTTGTAAATTTGTGTATTCGTGTTTGACAAATAAATGATGCTTGAGTATAAAATGTCTTGCGAGCTGTAACTCTATAAGTCTTCCTTTCTTTTTTTAAAGATCAAAAGCTCTTAATCTTAACAATGTAGTAGGGTTAAAGATGAATGGCTCTATTAAATGAAGAAAATGTATTGGAGACTATTAAAATATCCATTTAGACTCATTACATCATGCTGTTGCTATGGTATGTGGTTAGTGCCTCAAAATCCATAGTTATTTCCTCAGAATCCCTGCAAATAGATTATGTCAAGTTATTACCATATTTTAATGTATAAATCAGCAGTTTGTAAACTTTAATGTGTATCAATAAAAATAAAAATGAATTGTGTTTAATTATATTTTGATTTATTTTATTTAAATTAAATACAGCTTTTGTTTTGGTATTCCCAATTCTTTGCCTTGGTCACTTTTCATAGCTCAACCTCCAGAACGCTATCAGAGTCCAAAAGTGATTCTCAGCTTGAAAGAAGCTGGTCATTCCTGCTCTTAAGAACTCTCCTCAATCTGGGCAGTGAGATGTTTAGATCAGCTCTGGAGTGCTTGGTGCTTGTTACCTAGTTGGGTTATGAAATGTCTGCAAGCAAACTACCAAGCTCGAGAGCACCAAGGACTCTACAGTTAAACCCTGAACTACATATATTCTTTTCTATTAAGGTAAAATATTAAAGTTATTATCAAAAGTTAAACTAGCTGAGAATTTTAGGAATTGCAGAAATGGTAGAGATAAAAAATTTCAAAGGTGGAACTGATAACTGATCACATTAATAAATAAAATGGTGTGAAAATATTTCATGGCCCTAATTAGTTTTTAAAAATAACTCGGTAATAATGGAACTGACAAAACCCAAGAACTGTCACGAAATAATACACTATCAAAGATTCCTACTGTCACATAAATACTGAAGTTCCATTTATGTAAAGGCAGTAGAAGAAAACTGAAACATACTTGAAGTAGATAATTAAGATATAAAACTTCAATGTGGATTTTTGTGTAATGATATTCTTATTGTTGTGTATTTAGTGTATTCTAGTTTATTGTAGTTCATAAAAAATGAAATAGCTTGATTGTGAGTTGCAGTTGCTTGTACTATTTCCTGTTTATAAAAATTAATTAGAGAATTATTGAACTATTCCTTGATGGCAGAGCTGAGCTAGAAATCAATGCCATTTGATGTGTTGCTGTTTCTTAGCCTTGTTTGCTTTGTGACTCGGGTGAATACTTGTTGCTATATCTTTTAAATGTAATGTGGTTTAAAATATTACCAAGATGATAGGGATTCTTAGCTTTGTCTGTTTATTCTATCTGTTATACAAGAATTAAATATATTTATGCTGTTTGATTTCCTACATTCTTTTTTCTTTTCCCTTCTTAGTATTGCTTCTTATTTCTTCCTATTGCCACTACATCTATGCTGGTTCATTTAATAGAGTTATAAGAAAGAGCAAAAGAGAAAAAGTATTTCAGTTCATAAAAAGGCTGGCATGCTCCACTCCATTCCATTGTTGGGATAACAATGTGATTGTGGTTTTTTAAAAAAAACATTTACATGTTCTTTTATTATCTGCAGAAAGCAAAATATTGAAGTATTTTTGTTGTAACTATCTTGCTATAGGTACCAGTATAGATGGTTGCAGTTTGGCTATTGCATAAGCTTATTTGTAATAAACATAGATTAATTTAAGAGAAGATGATGATCTTATTTGGACAACATTTATGCACTGTTAGCAACTGTAAGATTAAAAAATGTTTTTTTTCTATAAAATAATTTTATGTATTATTATAAAAAAAGTTTTTGAGCATACTGATAATACATAAAGTATTTCTTTAGATATAAAGTTGTTTTATTTTAAACTGATTTCTTAATTGTTAAAGTGCTGTAATTTAACTCCCTCCCATCCATTACTTGTGTATATCTAAATTTCTTTTTAAAAAAATTCACATCCATTTTTGTTCATAAGGATCAACTTGCCATTTTCAATTTCACAGCTCCACTAGGAGAACAGTAGGAAATAAGATGAGAATTCAGCTGGGAAGTCTTTCTACTGCATAGTTTATTGTTGGGAATTATGAGATTTAAATTATGATTAATTCTTAAGCATGCGTTTATATATGATTAAAACAATGTGCTAGAGTTAAAAATAAGGTACATAGAAATGTAGAAATGAACTTTTTGCAATTTTCTTCTGGTATGGAGTGACAAGTATGAAAACAGTAATCATCCTGTACATTGACTATATGGAACCTTCAAAGCACCCCATAATAAGCAAAATGCCTATTACTATGGCATAAATATAGTGCAATTTATTTTCAGTCAAGTTGACAGTTTAAATGAATGTTTAGTTTCTGAAATGTACTGTGTCGATATCCATTTAACTGACACCAAGGTACCTTTCTCTCCAAAAGGACTGTACATTTTTGATCCTGCCATTTAGAGATTATCATATCTCTAGAACATTTGTTGTGACTTCTGTAATGAAAACAATTGCCTTCCGCTGCTTTAAGGAAATGTTTGAAAATGCTTTTAAATCAAAATGTAATATAATTAATTACTAAATAGTATTTGTTTGACTTAACACATTGGTGATGAAATAAAGAATAAGTGCCAAATTACATCCGTTGGTTTCCATTCATTTAGACACCTAGCTGTTGGGCAGAAGAGGTATTAGAAAAGAGGTCACATCAGCGTTCAGCTTCATGGGGCAGCACTGATCAACTAAAAGAAGTAAGTGCTTAACAACTTGGCAAAGAGCAGCAATCCTTCATGTCTCACAGTTAACACTAAATGCGATTCAGTTATTATGCCCATTTTGTGCACTCATGCCCCTGCTTTCAGTTATAAGCTGCTGGTTTTAGGATTTATGTAAATGATAAAAAGAACATTGGGTAGTCAGAGTAGATATCTGGTAAGATTGAGGCACAGGCAGTATTACACTGTCATATGTTAGGAAATGCATTCATGGATGTGTGAAAAATCAATTTACTGGTATAGATTCTCATGAACAGTATCTGTCAAGGAGTGACCATAATTTAGAGAACAGATTTTCTGATGTTTTGCTGCAACTCTGGCTGGCAAAGTGGCAAAGATTTAGAGACAACTTTGTCTCTGGTGATGTTAGTCCCAATTGTGAGTGAAATATCAGAAAATATAGCAATACCATTTAGACTTATATACTGCTTTATAGCCCTCTTAAAGCAGTTTACAGAGTCAGCATATTGCCCCCAACAATTTGGGTCCTCATTTTACTGATCTCAGAAGGATGGAAGGCTGAGTCAACCTTGAACCTGGTGGGATTTGAACTGCCAAATTGTAGGCAGCTGGCTGCAGAATTTGCTTGCAGTACTGCACTCTAACCACTGTGCCACAGAAGCTCCTATGCTCTCTGGACCACTAATTCTGAAGTCCAGAAGCCTGTTTCATTTATTTGCAATATGATGTTTGAAATTGGAAGAATTATAAAGAAACTATAACCCATGGTATAAGATCCAAGATCAGATGATAGTGTCTATTTAAACTGCTAAATAGATTCAAAGCTTAAATTGTAGAATGGTGGTAAAATTGAAAGGGCCAGCGAATATGTGCTGATTTTGTTTCCTTCAGTTAATTTGAATGCCTATTCAAAAATACAATATTTCTGGTACCAAGATTGTGATGGTTGATCCTTTTTAGCAGGTGGTTGTGACCTGGTTATTTTAAAATTAGTTTCAATGGGTTATATAAATGTACATATGAAAATGAACACTGGCTGTCATTTTCTTCTACTAAGACAATTTTGATTCTTTCTTTGTTAGAAAATACTAAGCAGGTATATTTGAGAATATGTTGTGTTCTGCATGAGAATATATTACTGTGAGAGTGTAATACTTTTTGTGGGTTGGATGTCTGGTAAAAGAAGACAGGTTCAAAATTTTGTTAAAAAAATAAGTGGTTGATAAGGTAGGTAAAAACTGAATCATTTTATTACATTAATTCATGATACTGAAATAAAATATGACTGATTCTCAAATAACTTTTTTTTCAGGAATAAATTGAATTCAGACCATTATTAATTATTTAAAAGAGCATTTAATTAGGATTACTATGAATTTTAAGGAACAATTTGCAACACATGCTTGTCTTCAGAATATGATACTGTTGTTCTGTAGTGTATTACTTAAATAAGAGTATCCCCTGCTCTTTTTATCTCTTTTAGTCTATCTTTTATTTGATTTTGTTTCTTTTCCCCGTCAGATTGCCAAACTGAGACAGCAGCTCCAGCGAAGTAAACAGAGTAGTCGTCACAATAAAGAAAAGGAACGTCAGTCGCCTCTCCATGGCAACCATATAGCAATCAACCAGACTCAGGTAAGCACACTACTGGATTGTTTAGGCAGAATATTTACACCACAAAATTAGAAGTAATGTATTTTTAAGTTCTGAATTCCTGTCTGCCAACTAAAAATAATTTATTTTTGTACAGTACAGTCAAACAACAAATAGAATTGGGAAGAAATATTAAGAAATCTCCAGAAGCTATTAAATTGTAACTGATGTTTGAGTAAAGTTTTGAGATAGTTAGAAATGAGTTTTAGTCACGCACCCTCTATCTGAATCCATTGATCATCCAAAGAGTTCTTTTATATCCATTATCAAGCAGATTTTTCTGCTTTATATTCCTGCAGTATTGTGATGTTCAGCGTCTTTATCATTTCTTCATTAGTCTAGCACTTGTTTTCTTTATTTAAACCTATCTCAAGAATAACTGGGCAGCTCATTACAGATGAAAAAGTTTTAAAATATCCTTTTTATATGGATAATGCGACCATGTTATTCTTGAAAATCTTTGCAATTTGTATGAAATATAACTTTTATTGAATGTTTTTTTCAAATAGTATATTCAGATAATATAACTATGTTAACAAAGTCACAGTGATAAATTGAGTTACTGATACCTTCCTTTTCATGCTAGTATTCGTAGTTATCTACAATTCTGATCTGATGGCATAACTATTTAGAAATGTGTTGCGACAGATTACTAGATAGATTGGTTTTTGTCTTCTCCATTTTAATTTATTTATATATGTAACATAGCACATCAATGTCATAGTTGTTGAAATTTCATGAATTATTTTTTGTTTCATTGTAGAAATATAACTAAATTTTACTGTCCCAAACATGCTTCTTTTTTCAGGAGCCAACTGAACTTTCTTGTTTTTTTCTTTGAATGTTTCGCTTCTCATCCAAGAAGCTTTTTCTGCTCTGACAGGACAGTGGGGAATGGAAGGATTGACCTTGCAACATCTGGTCATTTACATCCTTTTAGAGGGTTGTTGAAGCCTTTGAAGGTTTATCTGTATTCTCAGAGTCACCATTCTGCTCCTGATTCCTGTAGACTACAACTCTTTTTCTTCTGGAAATCCATTCCTACTCTCACAATAGTCAAACGATGTTCATCCCAAAGTATAAGTCTATTTGCGATGAACACCGAAAAAACATGAAGTATGAATAAATATTTCTTCAAATAAACACACTAATTTGAATAGCTAAAAGTCTGTAGAGATTCTCAGTCATCCAGGTCAAGGTTGTCCTGAAGGTGCTTATTCTGGAGGCAACTGGATTTCTGTTTTGTTTGTTTTTTTTTCCTTTCACATTTCGTTTCTTGGATGAAACATCTTCAAAGAAAAAACAAGAAGTTCAGTTGCCTCGAGAATAAGCACCCTTGGGACAACCTTCACCTGGATGACTGAGAATCTCTACAGACTTTTAGCCGTGTAATTCAGGATGAACACCCTTTGAATGGTGTGGGAGTAGGAATGGATTTCCAGAGGGAAAAAAGTTGCAGACGACAGGAACCAGGAGCACTACTCAGGTGACCCTGAAGACATAGATAAATCTCCAAGTGCTTCAATGACCCTCTAGTCTAAAAGGATACAAATGATCAGTTGTCTGCAAGGAATATAAATCCTTCCATTCTCCGCTACCCTGTCAGAGCTGAAGAAGCTTCTTAGACGACAAACGAAACATCTTCAAAGAAAAACAAAGTCCAATTGCCTCCTGAAAAAAAGTACCTTTGGAACAACCATGATCTGGATGACTAAGAATCTGTACAGACTGAATTTTACTCTGTGGTTACATAATTTGTATCAAGAATTTCTATATTTTTTTCTCAGAAAGCAACTAAATCAACCTTAATTATGGAGTAATATATATTGGCTATTATCATGTGGAGATAGATACAGGTGTTTTCATGATACAACATACTGAGGTTGAGCTTAGAAAGATAAGATGATAATTAGACACACTCATGCACAAATTATATTTCTAGAACCATATTGGAAAGCTGCAAATGTAAAAACCATTATTTTCAGTGCGCTTTTGAAGAAAATGCTTTATAAATTAAGCTTGATAGCCTAAAAATATTTTTCTGTATAGATAGTTACATTAAGGAAATGAATAGAAATGTCTGTTATATTAAACACTGTATAGATTTCTATCCATATTTCTATTTGATTTCAAACATAGAATACAAGATTTCAGAAATCTATACTAATATGATTGTTCAAAATATTGTTTAATAATTTTATAAACTGTACACTAGTGATGTTTGAATTATACCCATGGTCCTGCTCAATTGGGCTTTCATCAATGTTCATAATATTATATGCAGCCGAAAAATTCAGTATTTGTCATTGAAATATTTTTAATTAAAACATATATATACTCTATAAATACCCAAATGGGCTTTTATGAAAAAAAAAATGATACGATGTTGCATTATTCTAACCCAGTGGTGGCTAACCTTTTCGGCACTGAGTGCTGAAATGCGAGTATGTGCATGCTGGAAACCAGAAGAACAGCTCCCTAATGTGCGCATGTACCAGCGTCGGAAATTGGAAGCTTAACTTCACTGCATGGATATGCGTGCCAGCCACCTGGTCTGCTGGTTTCTAACACATGTGCATGAAAACCAGCTGGCCAGTGTACGCATGCACTCCGGGGAGCTGCTCTTCTGGTTTCTGGCACTCCCACGCACACGAAGACCAGCTGGGGAACCTTACAGATACAGATACAGATAATCAGAGTTGGAAGGAACCTTGTAGCTCATTTAGTCCAACCCCCCACCCAAGCGGGAGACCCTACACCATTTCTGACAAATGGCAGTCCAATCTCTTCTTGAAAGTTTCAACTGATGGCGCTCCCACAACTTCCAAGGGCAAGCTGTTCCATTGGTTGATTGTTCTCACTGTCAGAAAGTTTCTCCGTGTTTCCAGGTTAAATCTCTCCTTGTTCAGTTTCCATCCATTATTCCTTGTCTGGCCTACAGGAGCTTGAGAAAATAGCTTGACCCCTTCCTCCCTGTGGCAGCCCCTCAAATATTGGAAGACCTCTATCATGTCTCCCCTGATCCTTCTCTTCTCTAGACTAGCTATGCCTAGTTCCTGTAACTGTTTGTTGTATGTTTTAGCCTCCAGTCCCCTAATCATCCTGGTTGCTCTTATCTGTACTTTTTCTAGAGTCTCAACATCTTTTTTATAATGTGACCAAAACTGGATGCAGTACTCTAGGTGTGGTCTTACTAAGGCTTTATAGAGTAGTATTAGTACTTCCCTTGATCTTGACTGTATCCCTCTGTTAATACAATTAGGATTACATTAGCTTTTTTGGCAGCGGCTGCACACTGCTGGCTCATATTTAGCTGTTTGTCTAGGACTCCAAGATCCCTCTCACAGTTAAGAGCAATGGGCAACAGCTTGCATGCCCAGAGAGATGGCTCTGCATGCCACTTCTGGCATGCATGGCATAGATTCGCCATCACGGTTCTAAACCATTTAAAGTTCTTTTTACTGAAGCTGAAATGTTTGAAATTTTAATTCAAATATATTTAGGTTATGGGAATTCTCCAATGAGCTGCGACGAGCATCCAGCAGTGGGAAGTGCTTAGACTTAGATTGGATAGGCTGGGCTTGATTGATAGGACGCTCCTCCTCCACGTACTCCTCCTTAGCGTCCCCCAATTTTAGCTCAGCCTTCGTGAGGTAGGCAGCTTGATTGTTCCTTGGTCGGATTAGGAGAAATTAACAGATTTGAATTACAACTTAATACTCAAATTGGTAATTCTAAATTTTAATTCTAACTCAATTCTAAATTCCTTTCAAACAACATTATTCCGACGACAAATTGGCACGGACTGCCATCAGAATACCCATTGGCTCCCCAGGGAGCCCTCAGTCGCTTTCGTGGTGATTGGAAGCACAACCACTTGACATTGCAGATTGGCTTGACATCACGAAGCCCTGTTGCTGCGCCGCTTTAAAAGATGAGCGGCCAATTTAAATTGTCGAGGCTTTTCTCTGCTCCCCCGATCAGAACACCTAGAGAAAGAGGGCTTCTGAGTCCGAATTCTCCTTAGATCGCCTTGTTTGGTTAGCTCTGCATCGGCTTATAACAAGAGGTGACGGTTGCTGCTACATTTTGGCGCCTAAAATAAGCACCGGCACCATTTTGTTCATATTCTGTTGCGTTCACTATCTATTTATTTGGTGAGGGGCCATTTCCCCTCACAAGAATCTCTTTCTGAGGGTTCAGGGGACAATTACTCCAATTATTGACTTCTTTCTGAGGTTTATTTTCGGTTTCTCTTTTTTAAGTTGGCAGCCCTCACAGAAATTAGCAGCACAGTAACAGCAAGCACCAAGGCCTGTGTCTGCCTGTGCAGGAAGCTTTTGAGGGCCAGTGACTACAGGATCACTCATTTATAAATACAGCCCTGAAAGGTATTCTCAATTTGGCTCCAAAAATTTGTTCATCTCATTATCTGTCTGGTAACAGCACAGTAAGTTTATATATACAGTTGCTATGCACAGATATAATTAAAGTATATAATAATAAGAATAACTGAATATTATCCAATAATAATAATAATAATAATAATAATAATAATAATAATAATAATAATAATAATAATAATATATTCTAATTGTTATAAATTGATTTTACCAAAAAAGGGGGGAGCAAATATTAAGAGGGTTCCCTGTCTCTGATTAAAGCAGGCCTCTGGACTATCCAACGGTCCTTAAAGATCACACACACACATACACACGCACACACACACACATTATCTATCTATCTATCTATCTATCTATCTATCTATCTATCTATCTATCTATCTATCTATCGCCTCGTGGTGTTTAGGTCAGAAATTGCAATGGCAAGCAATTTTATATTATGGTGCCTTTTAAAATAATCATCAGCAATTTGTATTGGGGCCCAGAAGCTTATTGACATTGATGCAAGAATCTAAGATGCAATCCTGCAATATAAATTTCCCTGGCTAACAGTTCAGCCACTGCATTCTGACAGTAATGGTTTCGGAACCATCTTAAGAGACAATGCCATATAGAATACATAGCATTATTTATCAAACATATCTATTATTTTTTTCCACATTTTGAATTGTTCAACTCCTTCAGACTGTGTTGTATAATAAAATGCTAAAATATAAAAACAGCATATAAAAATTAAAAAGTTAGAAAATGTAGAATGTAAAAGGAGGCAAAGTTGATTAAAATCTGTTAGAAATTAGTTAAAAACTGACGGGATGGCTTTCAGGACATCAACCATCCCCATGGTAGTGTGCTTCTCTGAGCTCCTTGTGCAAGGCTGCAGAACCACATTTTAACTCCTTTGCAAGAGACTGAAAGAGTGGGAGCCTGTCTTACATCAAGGGAAAGGATATTTATTGCACAGGTGGGGCAATAGTAGAAAAGGCACTCTTCCTACATCCTTCCAGTTGTAATTCTTTAACTTATTGGGTCTACAACATGTTTTCCCTCTCTGACTCAGTGAGACAGAACAATATAATGGGACAAAGATGGTTCTGTAGGCAGCCTGACCCCATGGGATGTAGGGCGTTTAAGTAATAACACCTTGAAATGCATCCAGAAGTAAACTGGCATCCAATGCAAATTCACAGAGCAAAGATATTACATAAACCCTTTTTTGCTCATGTCATATTCTGCAACATGTAACTGGATACTTTTCAAAAGTAGCACCATGTACAGTACATTACAATAATCCAGTCAGGAGATGACCAAGTCATTAGTTCCTAAATGGAGACTTTTCCTATCCAGGAAAGAGTGTAAATGGCACATAACATGAAGTTTCTATCCCATTGATATGAAAAGATTTTTAGTAGTTTACAATTACAATTTGAAGCATCCTTGGTAAAAGCAGCAGTTCAACTATCTGATAATTAGAGCAAGGAATTTAAAAATTACATTTTCAAATTATGTAAGTGAAATTACAGAGATAAAACATCAGATTGGTTTACTAATTGTAGATCACTGAGTTGCATTCTGAGTTCAGCGTTAGACACTCTTTAAATAAACAGTCTCCTTTTTCTCCTAATGAATTGCTGTAACAGTCTCTGTAGATTTGGTGATATAGGTAAACCAGGTGGAATCAGTCTGTTGTGCTATATTGTGTATGTTTGTTAAATATCATTATATCCCATTACTATCGCTTCCAGTATTATTGCTGTTATTGATTCATTTAATATTATTAGTGTTATTATTATTTCCTGACTTATTTTATATAATACTTTGGTCAATCCATGGTGGAGAACATACATAATTGTCCTTCCTCCTATTTTCCCTTAAATAACAATCCTGAGAGAGAGTTGGTAGACTGTACATATGTTTTCAACGTATACATGAGATTTATGTAGTGACTTTTTTATTACTATCCATATCATACCATTTGTCCATGTTCATACGATACAGTTTTTTCTGATACCATAGATCAATGTTTCTCAACTTTGACAGCTTTTAAAATGTGGACTTCAGCTGCCAGAATTCTTCAGCCAAAATAAATTTCAGAATTCCCCAGCCAGCATATCTTGAGAAACACTGCCATAGGCTAATTAATTGAAGTAATAAAATAGAATAGAATTCTTTATTGGCCAAGTGTGACTGGACACACAAGGAATTGTCTTGGTGCATATGCTCTCAGTGTACATAAAAGAAAAGATACAAGAGTCAAGAATCATAAGGTACAATACTTAATAATAGGGTGTAGCATTGAGCTGCTAATTGTGTATGAGAACCAAGGTAGGATATTTTTTCTTTCCTCAATTCAATCCTTTTCATCTGAAATCTGCATCAAGTTAGATCATTTTGCATTTAAAAATGAATGTGTGTCACTTCAAATAAGTACATAACTCAGTTTCTTATTTCTTGGTATCCCTAGCTATATCTTTTAAGCTAATTGAACATACATTTCACTTGTTTTAAAGGCTTCTATCTCAAGATCAGTACCTATGCCACTGTCAAATATTTCAGTGCCAAAATCAACAATCTCACGTGTGCCGTGCAATGTAGAAGGAATAAGTCCTGAATTAGAAAAAGTATTCATCAGAGATAACAGTGGAAAGGAGGAAGTATCGAAGGTAAGGGAATGCTGTGAGTGACTATCATAAAAGACATGTTCTAGGAATGTAATTTATTCATTTAGTTTTATTTTTCTAGTCATATATTGTAAGCACATCTGACCAAGCATTTTATGTAATCTCAGTAAAGAGATTAAAACCATGTAAACTATGCATGTACCCAGGAATAACCACAAAATATTTAGTCTCCATGACAGACAGTAAACACCGAGGACCAGCTGAAGCAACTAGATCTTAATTACTTTTCTGGAAAGTTCAAGGCCAATCTGATGCATTGACCTACATTAAAAGCTAATTTTACATGGACACTCTAGATAGTTTGCATATCCATATACGTAAAGTGACTAATATAAGAAATTGTATTTTTTACTTTTGAATATATTGTGATCGTAGAACAATCCAATCAATATTAGTAATTGTACAAATATTTTTTAAAAAATGAAATGAAATGAAATAATTCTTATATATATATTCATGGATAAACTAGTTTATCCATGGATGGACTTATTTGCATGTATACACACACTTTAAAAAAAGTACCTATATTTTCCTTCATATGTAAGACTATCGGCAAATATACAGTCCCTCAAATTTTTAACCAAAATACCATGAAAAATGGCTTATCCATGGGTGGCTTATACATAGGTATAAATGGTAGACTATTAAGAATCTTATGAGGCAGTTCTATTCATGGTTTTAAGTTTCCTTATGACCTTACAACCATGGAAGTGCTGCAACTTCCCTCTCCCGTACTGTAGGTCAGAAAGCCTCAACTAGCTAGGTCCAATAGTGTACATGCCTCCTGCCTCTCCCTTCACTCCCAAGAAGTCTGGCCTTCTCCCTTCTCCCCTTCCAAAACATCTTCCCATTTTGCACTGCTCCCTGCAGGCCCTTTTTGATCTGCAAGCCATCTATCTTGTACTCCCAAGCACCTCCAGGCACCATTCACAGCCTACACTACCACTCCTACACCCTTCCCTGATTCGTGCAATATTTCTTGGGCAAACCCACATGTCCTTCCTAACCTGTGCAGCACCTCTTGTGCACACCCACATACCATTTCCTGCATTCCCCCCTCTACATAGCAACAGCCATTTATTTATCTGGTGGCCTTGGACTTGCAGTTTCCTGCTGGCTTTCTGTAAGCTTCCCACAAGCAAAATAATTGGGGAAGACAGTAGAATTCTAAAGAGGGAGGGGGAAGGAAGGACATGATGACAAAATGAGGGAGTGGGGAGGGAGGAAGGGAAGGAAAGGAAAGGAACAGTTTGGTTAGGAAGGAAGAAAGGAAAGAAACAGCAGATTTCACATGCTACCTACCAGATTCTCACAAGGAAACTCAATATGTGAAGGTAGCAGGAAGTTGATACAGGTAATCCTTGACTTACAACAGTTCATTTAGTGACTGTTCAAAATTACAACGGCACTGAAAATAGAAAATAGAGACTTATGACCATTTTTCACACTTATGACCATTGCAGCATCCCGTGGTCATGTGATTTACATTCAGATGCTTGACAATGGACTCATATATATGATGGCTGCAGTGTTCATTTTTGCAACCTTCTGACAAGCAAAATCAGTGGAGAATCCACATTCATTTAACAACCATGTTACTAATATAACAACTGCAGTGATTCACTTAACAAATGTGGCAAGAAAAGTTATAAAATGGGCCAAATTTACTTAACAAATTTTTAACAACATAAATTTTGGGTTCAATTATGGTCATAAATTGAGGATTACTCCTCAATTATTGAGGAGATTATTGAGATTATTGAGGTTGCTCCTTGCTTCACAGTTGTTTTTTTGCCCAGAATAGATAGTTTTCTTATTGTTTGTAGTCAGACAGATAAGATCCTGAAAAACAGGAAAGAGTTTGAATATCTTCATATGGTGGCAAATATGCCAGAAAATTGCTTTGCAAAAAACTGGGATATCATGAATTCTATTCCTGCCTTAGACCCGAAGTTAACTATGTGACTTTGGGTCAGTCACTCTCAGACCTGGGAAGCAGGCAGCGGCAAACATTTCTGAAATCTGCCAGAAATACTGAAAGGACTTGCCACCAGGAATCAAGGTCATATAAAGTGTTAGCACTGCTTTATAATGCTTTGGTAAAACCACGCTTGGAATAAAATGATTAGAGGACTGGAGGTTAAAACATAGGAAGAACTGTTGCAGGAATTGGATACATCTAGTTCAATGAAAAGAAGGACTAGGGGTGACATGATAGTGTTTCAATATCTTCTAAGAGGTTTATTACAAAGAAGGGGGGTGGGTATCATCCTATTCTCCAAAGCACCTGAAGGCAGGACAGGAAGCCATGATGGAAACTAATCAAGGAAGTAAGGAGATATTTCCTAACAGAACCATTAATCAGTGGAACAACTTGCCACCAGAAGTTGTGGGTGCTCCCAACACTGGAGATTTTCAAGAAGAGATCGGACAACCATTTTTTCAGAATGGTATAGGGCAGTGGTGGTGAACCTATGGCACGAGTGTCAGAGGTGGCATAGAGCCCTCTTTGTTGGGCATGCGTGCCATTGCCCCATAACCAGTGTAACCGTGCATGCGCTTCCCTCCATCCAGCTGGGTCTCTGCCACCATACGTGAGGCAGGGTGCATGTGTGAGGGGTGGGCCACAGGAACGCACATGTGGGAATGGGCGTGTCTTGTATTTTGGGAAAGTGCGGGCATGCATGTGCTTTGGACACTCTGCCCAAAAGGTTTGCCATTACTGGTATAGGGTTTCATATCTAAGCAGGGGGAAGGACTTGAAGACCTACAGAGTCCCTTCAAACTCTTGTTATTTTGTTATCATTCATATGCTGTAACGTGGATTCAAAGTCATCCTTTCCCCAAAAAATTCAAAACAAAAAAAACACCACTCACAAAAATATAGAGTAGTTTTACTTTGCCCAATTTAAACTTAATAAATTATACACAACAAAATTTGTCTTCTGCTCAGTTACAATTTCTTAGATAATTTTATGAAATAAGGCTTTATGTCTTCTACTTCTGAGTATGCTCCAGCATGTTTGTATTAAGACATTTAAATAAAGTGGAAAAAATACAGAAAGGTTTTGAATACTGTTTTAGAAAAGAAATGTAACACATATGCAAGCACACAGAATTAAGTAGTCCATAAACTTTCATAAAACTATTTGAAATTAAAAAGATAATTATGATACAATTAATATAGGTCAATGATTTACAAAACTAAGGGGAAAAGGCTTTTATAAAGGTGTGTGTTGTGTTGGTTTATGTTGTAAGGTAAGGCAAACAAATTTTTGTATTATACAACTATTAATAAACTACAGCATGTTTGTAGATTCTTAGATATAATATATATGCCATTAAAGTGGCAATCCCTTTATTTTATTGCAACTAGGGATGCTTTGGCAAATATTGATGACAAAATGATATTGCTGGTGGTAGAGAACGAATAAAGTTCTTCACCACTATGAAAATAAAGTATCTAGGATGGGGGAAAACCTTATAGCATATAGAGCTTTTATTGTGGCAGTCATTATGATTTTGGAGCATTGGCTGAAATAAAATGGAAAATTGTCTTGCAAGAGTTGCTTTGCTCACAGAACACAAAGCTATATGCATAAGTTTAGCTGTTTGAAACCTGAAGAAAAAAAATGCCAAGTGGAAAGATGTAAGTCATAAAAAATTATCAAATAGCATCTAGAATCTTGCTTAGAAAAATGCTCTTAAAATAAATCTTTTTTTTTTTTTAGAAATTAAACTATTTAATTTTATAGGTACACTTATCTTTTATATATTAATATAGGCAGTCCTTGCATAATAATGGTGATTGGGCTCGGCAGTTGTATTGTTAAGCAGTAATATAAAGCAGTGTCATGTGATCACACTGACTTACACCAGCAATTATGGCAATCTAAGTTGCTGTTGTTATGCAAATCCTAAGTGATCACAGTGTCCCATAATGAGATGATCCCTATTGCAATCTCTTGCCAGCTTCCCCATTGACTTTACTGGAAACCTGCAGTGAAGTGAAATGATGATCTTGTGAATACAAGAATGTTCTGACAGTTCCAACTATGAGGATCTGTCATGAATCCTCTTTATTCAGTGTCATTGTTACTTCAAATAGTTAATGAATGAATAGGTCATTCAAAGAGGACTGCCTATAACAGCTTTACAGGAAAGGGCAGGAGGAAATATATTGTTTAGTAACTACAGTAACTTGCATTAGCAGAAGGATTCTTAATGAAAATGAAAGACGAGGGGAAAATTGAATTTTCCTTTCGTAATAACAGGCATGTAAACCATATAGGAATACTTGATTTGTGCAGGATAAGTTAGTTTGTTAAAAAAAACTGCTATTATGTATTATATTCTATAATATGGAATATTGGAATTATAGGTTTGCTGTATCCTCTCACATTATGTGAAGTTTCTTTAAACTTCTTTCCTGCTTTTTAATGGCATTTTTGCTACTAGTAACAAAATTGTTTCATTACTGTGAAATATCGAGAGAATAGGTTTGGTACATAAATTTCAGTATGAAACTTAAACAAGTCCTGACATCTTTTTAAGAATATGACCTTCATAGTAAAGCAATTTATTTTATTCTCCTTCGTAGCCCTATGCACTGATGCATGGCATACCACTGGGTATTTTGCTTCTTTATTTTTTATTTATTTAATTTGATTTGTCAATCGCTTACAAGATAATATATTTAAGAATAAACATAGTTATGGATACATGAAATGGATACATATAAGAAAAATAAAAGAAACAATAGGACAGGGATGGTAGGCATGTTGGTGCACTTATGCAGACCCCCTACAGACCTCTTAGGAAAGGGTCAACAGTAGACAGTCTAAGGTTAAAATTTTGGGGAAGAAACCATAGAGTCAGGTAGAGTATTCCAGACATTGACCACTCTGTTGCTGAAGTCGTATTTCCTGCAATCAAGTTTGGTGCGGTTAACCTTGAGTTTGTATCTATTGTGTGCTCTTGTGTTGTTATGGTTGAAGCCGAAATATTCTTTTGTAGGAAAATGAATTTCTTGTCCTTTTGCAAGGTCAGCTCTGGCATGAAGGACATTGAAAGAGGACAGGTCAAATTGCCTATGGAAGGATTAATTCTTACTATGCTTGTTAAGAATAATATTTGTATTGTAGCCCTTAGATATTCCTGATGGTCGGAGAGCACCCCTACCTGCTCACTATCGTAGCAGCAGCACAAGAAGCATTGATACACAAACACCTTCAGTCCAGGAGCGCAGTAGCAGCTGTAGCAGCCATTCTCCATGCATTTCTCCTATTTGTCATCCTGAATCACAGGATGGGAGTCCTTGTTCTACAGAAGACGTGCTTTATGACCGTGATAAAGGTGAGAGTCTGTTGGAATTATTGGTCATGGTTTGCATTTACTGTAATGCATCCTCACTGTGCATTGTGCACTGAAATCATTTTTTTTTTTTTGTCGTCATCCTAGTGGTGTGAACACAGATTGATCATTGATTTTTTTTTTGCTTGCTTATTTATTTCCTCTCTTGCTTGTGAAATTTTACAAACATCTTCCATAAGTGTGAGAAAAGAACACAGCGGTCTTAACTCTTTTTAATGAATACTTGAGTAAGAAGTTAAGAGAAAGAGCATCGTTCCATATTACAGAATGTGAATCATTGGTCAAAGAAGTTAACTCACTTCATGATTATGTTACTTTTAAATAATGAAACAAGTAAAACTATAAATATCATTTTTCCAGTTCAGTGTATAAAGATTTTGACTTTGGAATGAGTTCTGCTGATGAGCGAATCATGGCTGTGTTTCATTGTCTGTATTTAACAGTGCAATCTTCTATATGTCTACTCAGAAGTAAGCCCCATTGAGGTCAGTGGAACTTATTCCCAGGTAAGTAAGTACAGGGTTGCAGCCTTATAATTAAATGAAGATGTTCTCAGCACAGTTGGTGTTTTTGTACAGTGTGCAGTTCTAGGTACATTCATGGATTGATGAGGAATACAGTATTCAGCATGCTTTAAATTATAGCTTTTTTATTTTTCTAAATAAAAGTTTCTGCACCTCAATAGCTGCAAAGATAATTTTAGAAGCATGCAATTATTATTTTTCAATTGTGTAAATCTCCAACATGTTGAGGATAAGGATGGTTTGCGTTTTGTGTATAATCCTTTGCATTGTTCTTTATGTAGAAGAAGCAAAATACATTTAATGGAACAGATACATATATTTAAATATTAATTTATATTCTTTGTTTACCGGAGCTCCAGATGCCTTATGTCACTAAATTGAGGACTTCCTGTCCAGGCATTGACCCATTCACTTTCAAGATGTATTTTGTGTCTTCCTAGTTGGTCTTCTAGCCAACTATTTGAACTTATTTTGTAGAATTTATAAGGGCTACATATTCCAGTTTGCCTTATAATTACACTGCTCAAAAAAATAAAGGGAACACTTAAACAGCACAATGTAACTCCAAGTCAATCACACTTCTGTGAAATCAAACTGTCCACTTAGGTAGCAACACTGATTGACAATCAATTTCACATGCTGTTGTGCAAATGGAATGGGCAACAGGTGGAAAGCATAGGTAGTTAGCAAGACATCCCCAATAAAGGAGTGGTGACCACAGACCACTTCTCAGTTCCTATGCTTTCTGGCTGATGGTTTGGTCACTTTTGAATGCTGGCGGTGCTGTCACTCTAGTGGTAGCATGAGACGGAGTCTACAACCCACACAAGTGGCTCAGATAGTGCAGCCCATCCAGAATGGCACATCAATGCAAGCTGTGGCAAGAAGGTTTGCTGTGTCTGTCAGTGTAGTGTCCAGAGCATGGAGGCACTACCAGGAGATAGGCCAGTACATCTGGAGACGTAGAGGAGCCCATAGGAGGGCAACAACCCAACATCAAGACCGCTACCTCCGCCTTTGTGCAAGGAGGGACAGGAGGAGCACTGCCAGAGCCCTGAAAAATGACCTCCAGCAGGCCACAAATGTGCATGTGGCTGCTCAAACGGTCAGAAACAGACTCCATGAGGGTGGTATGAGGGCCCGATATCCACAGGTGGGGGTTGTGCGTACAGCCCAACACCGTGCAGGATGTTTGGCATTTGCTAGAGAACACCAAGATTGGCAAATTCGCCACTGGCACCCTGTGCTCTTCACAGATGAAAGCAGTTTCACACTGAGCACATGTGAGACGTGACAGGGTCTGGAGACACCGTGGAGAACGTTCTGCTGCCTGCAACATCCTCCAGCATGACCGGTTTGGCAGTGGGTCAGTAATGGTGTGGGGTGGCATTTCTTTAGGGGGCCGCCCAGCCCTCCATGTGCTCGCCAGAGGTAGCCTGACTGTCATTAGGTACCAAGATGAGATCCTCAGACCGCTTGTGAGACCATATGCTGGTGTGGTTGGCCCTGGGTTCCTCCTAATGCAAGACAGTGCTAGACCTCATGTGGCTGGAGTGTGTCAGCAGTTCCTGCAAGACGAAGGCATTGATGCTATGGACTGGCCCGCCCATTCCTCAGACCTGAATCCAATTGAGCACATCTGGGACATCATGTCTCGCTCCATCCATCAATGCCACATTGTACCACAGACTGTCCAGGAGTTGGGGGATGCTTTAGTCCAGCTGTGGGAGGAGATCCCTCGGGAAACCATTCGCCACCTCATTAGGACCATGCCCAGGTGTTGTAGGGAGGTCATACAGGCACGTGGAGGCCACACACACTAGTGAGCCTCATTTTGACTTGTTTTAAGGACATTAACATCAAAGTTGGATCAACCTGTAGTGTTTTTTTCCATTTTAATTTTGAGTGTAACTCCAAATCCAGACCTCCATGGGTTGCTAAATTTGATTTCCATTGATAATTTTTTGTGATTTTGTTGTCAGCACTTTCAACTATGTAATGAACAAAAGTATTTAATAAGAATATTTCATTCATTCAGATCTAGATGTCTTATTTTTGTGTTCCCTTTATTTTTTTGAGCAGTGTATTTTAAAATATGATTAGATAGTTTTTAGGATCATTTTGAGGAATCTTAATTATGAAATAGTTCAATAATTAAAAATTCCTGATGTAAATTTAAATGAATGAACGTCCTTGATTTTTATTTGCTTGCTCATTCTTAAAAAGCTTGTATTTTTTTTTCCTTTACAATCTTTTATATGCTTTGGTTTATTTATTTTTAACAAAAATACATCTTGAATTCTGCTTTTAAGATTTTTCAGTTTTTACATTTTCACTTACATGTTACATACATTTCTTTCATTTCCTTTTCTCTTTCCTTTCCTCCAGCCCATTTGAAATTTATCCATATTTTATCTGTTCTATATGTTCTTCCTTAGCCCACACATGGGGGCATATTGCAGTTTTAGTTGAATGTGTTTGTTCAGTTGGTGTCAACACAGTACTCTTTTTTTGTTACATTTATTTATACTTTGCTTTCAAAACAACTTCAAGAGCATCATAGCTTAGTTTTCTTATGGATAAAAGGAACCATAGTGAGCAAATATGTTAAGATATATTAGAAAAGATGTAATAACATACTATAAAGTATATTGTGGAATTAAAATCTAAAGTATTTTATCAATAATACTTGATTAGCATTTTACATGCTGCTGCTCTTGGTGTTACAACAATCATATAGTAGCAGATTTTTAATAAAGAGTTTTATCTTTGATGGTTGGGGCAGTCTATGGCTCATAGATGTTACCAGATTCCTAACCATACATTGGCTAAAGTTAATGGAAATTTGTAGTTCAGTAGTAAGGAATGATGAAAGCAAATTCAGGTTGCCTATTTCTGTCTGATGTAGGTTACAATGAGCTGTTTTTTTCTTACAGATAAACTACATGAGTATTATTTTAAAATATATTTCACTAATTTATTTTCAGTTTGCGTACCTGATTTCTTTGTCTTATGCTGCTCGCAATAAAACATCACATAATTCTAACATTTAGTTTAAATAAAATATTCAGTTAAGAGATACCTTTATATTTTCCTCATATTCCTTATGAGTCTTTTAGCTAAAGTTACTTTTTGTTTCAGCAAATACCTTAAATTTTAGTTTATTTTCAAAAGAGAGCTCATATAGGGTAGACACAATAAGGAGTTTGCCATACTTCTAAGCTGTTGAAAATATATTTTTAATATTCTGTTCATTGTTACAACTGTAATTGTGCTACACTGTACATTTAAATGAATCTGATAATTATATTCATTTTATGCATGATAGTCTACTAGGTGCTCTTTCTGGAAGAAGTAGTGATAAATTTATATAAATTAGTATATTTAATTTAAGTTGCCACAATAATGTGTATTTAATGAACATAAACAAATATATAAATGTATATGTTTGTAGAGTTGCATATGATTTAAAACGTTTCATTGTAATGTTACTGAGTTTGACCAGTAATTTTGGAGCTAATTTTAGCTAATCGGGTTAATGCATTTTGCTTTGTTTTTTAAAAGGAAATTATTTCATATTACTAAGATAATGCCTTATGTTACTTTAACAGTTCTAAAAGAAGCATTAAGTGACCTTTAAAAGCTAAGTGGGCATTTGATTAATTGACAGTAAATACATTTAAGGATAGATTGTGTGGATATTGATTATTAAATTAATAATCTGTTCTAAAATACTGTAGCAGGAGCTAGAATTTGGCTGTATCTGACATTATCTAAGCAAAGAGACAGTCCTCTGCCATTTGATATGCTCAAATCTGCTCTAACCACATCCTCAACATTTATATATTAAAGATAAGAAAACAGTCTATCTATTGTAGAAGGTGATTTCATTGGTTTTGTCAATCATTGCGATAATTGCAAATTGCTGTCTTAGGAAAGATAATGTGCTTATGCCACATGTAATATTGCTTGTTCTCCTAGTGTAAGCTCATGTTTGGATAAAGCTAGCATTATAATTGAATTACATAGAAGAATGTATTTGTTCAATTGAACTATATAAATGAAATTTTGAGTACATTTCTGGAATAAAAAACAGACTTAAAATAATTTTTTTTAATTAGAGAGAAAAAGCCTTGAGGTAGCATTTTCTATTCTATGCTACCAGTGAGATTTATTTGGTATCACATTTTTGTGATAATTTACTGATGTTTTGACTAACACAGGCGGCAATTATATTATTGTCAAATACACTTGTCACCATCAATTTTTCCCATTTTTCTGCTCTAGGGTAGAAGTACCCAAATTTCTATTATGGGTCTATCTGACCATCAGAGGTTGAGTTTCTCTCTTTTATATTGATTTATCTTTTATGATGATTAAACTTCGTTTGTTAACTTCATGTACTAGTTTTGGAAGGAGGTATTTTAAAGTTTAAATATCTTATGTTAAGAAGGCATATAAAATTACCTAAAGATTCTGAACACTTTGTTCTTTATCATAAGCTTTGTTTGCAGCCCAATTCGCATTATACTTTTCAACGGAAAATCAGCTTTAGGCTGGAACTTTCTGGGTTTGTGGATAAAAAAATGGAGTTAATAATTGATCAAGCATAGGGAGAGCTAACCTGCTGGCCAGACACAGACCTGCTTTACATTTCTAAAGCATCTTTTCTTTCCATTGGAAGGCTGCAGTTTAACCACAGGATCCATTGCCACCCTTTGCACCAGATCAGCTATTTACTTTACATTTCTATGAAGAGCTGCTTAAATAGGTTGAAATGTTCAAAAGAAAGTGAACATAAAGTCTGTAAAGGAAACCTATGGTCTACTTTAGGGTGGGAGAATGATATTGCCTGGCAGGGAATGGAGAATATGTCAATCGCACCTGTTGTGTGTATGGAGAAAGGGAGGGGAAAAAGGCCCCAGCCTACAATTTGATTAGAAGCAGTTTTATTGCATTTAAAGTGCTTGCTCCACAGGGAGTTAGTGATTAGAATTCAGTTTTGTGCTTCCCCCCCAGTTGCTATTAACAGCCTGGGGGTGTGCTTTTGAGACCTTGTGGTACAAAGAGAAGGACTGGTTTTTAGCCTATACTATTTAGATTGTAAAATAGAACTTAATTTTTGGTAAGTAAATCTCATTTTTTTAATGTTACTGATGAGCCATCTGTTTAGTCTGCCTAGTTTCAAATTAATGAAGGCTCTTATTCTGCAGATCTTTCAGTATTTGATCGTTAAAACTAGCTTTATATGAAAAACTACATTTTTTCATGTGCTTTAAGGAGAATTTGAACACAGAACGTGTAAAACTGGAAGGATGGAATGATTTATTACCTGCTTAAAACCTGACAGAAATATTTCTCTAAAGATATTAAGACAAGCAGCTGGCAGATGTTAGCTGAATGATTCAATTAATTATTTAGATACAGAAAATAATACTGGAGATCCTAGTGGATAACAATTTTTTTTGTTTGGGTTTTTATTGATTTGTTGTTTAGGAAGATTTGTTTCTAAAAGTCAGGGCAGAGGATATTTAGAAGAAGAAATAAGAGAAATTATATTTAACTTTCCAAAAACAGTCAATGAGTATGTTTTTAAAGTTTTCAGTTACAGCTAATAGGGGACTGATACAAGAACATTTGGCTTGTCAGTTTATGAAATTATTGCAATATTCAGGAGGCATCTCTCTGTAGAACTGAAAATACCATCCAACGGAGACAGCACTTGATGATATTGCTATACATGATTACTAATTCATCTGTAGGAGGAAATATTAATGAAAAAAGAAAGCTCTGATATTTGGAGAACTGCTTATTTAAATGTTTTATTTCTGAAGCATCTTTTGAGCAAGCTCATGGATGATAAAATTTGATGGTCAAATTAGTAGATACAATCCACCAAGGCATTTTTTCTCATATATCCTATTTTTATTGCTATACTTTTGTAGTTATACATTACGTATTGTGCTTTAGTGCTGTTAAACTTTGCTAGTTTCTCCTGTTTTAACATAGATTATCATAGATGAAAACTAACAAAAAACAGGTGTAGCATTGTGTCAGTCTAAAAATTGGAGATGTTTATTTTATTCTGTGTTTCAAAGCCCATTTGTATAATAGAAGTGTTTATATTATATAAATAGTTGTGTTTGTTCGTAGTATTGCTTGTATATGGCAATATTGTGAGCTCTTCGGGTTTCAGATGATATTTACGAGCATTGTTTCTGTTGTTTTGTATAGTGCAAAGACAATTACTTTAAATTGTCACTAACTTCTTTACTTGAATTGTACATATTTATTTAATAGCTTTCATTTTTGAAATACTTAATAGAGAATTTAAAGTATTTCAAGATTATAATTTACTTTATTTGATCTGTGGTATTCTAGACAATCCTGTTATTTTCTAATACATGATAGATAACACTTTCAGATAGGCCACAATAAAAAAGTCTCATTTGAAGCAAACCAGTTTCCACAACCAAGTTATGCAAAAACCGTTATATTTAGAAATCAGACTAAGTTTTTATAAAAATCTTAATCCCTAGTAATACAACTGCTTTAAATTTTCAGACAGTGGGAGTAGCTCACCGTTGCCCAAGTATGCCTCCTCTCCTAAGCCCAACAACAGCTACATGTTCAAACGAGAGCCCCCAGAGGGATGTGAACGAGTGAAGGTCTTTGAGGAAGTGTCGTAAGTAATGCCTTTTATATCAGCTGGGATCCGCAAGGGCAGAAAATCAGTTTGTTGGACATTTTTTGAGCTGCAGATGAATAATCTACTCCAGCTGATGAGGTTTATTTTCCTCCTTCAAGAAAGAAATCAGTCCTGCCATTTTTTTCAGGCAAATTGAAAGTTTTCCTATTGGTTTGAAGGGACACAGTAGTGAGTGAGCACCCTTGGTCATGTGGTCTGTATCTTATGAAAGCATAGCTAAAGGGGAATATGGAAATATGAAGTTTGTGTAATGTTTTCATTCTATAAAAGTAACTGCAGCCAGAGGGGTTTTGCGGGGGCAGTTTTTTTAATTGTATTTAATCTTTTTAGCTTTTCTCTGTGTATTTGCATATGTGTTAAGAAAGAACTATATATGAAAGAGTGTGATATCCACATTCTCTAAGATGGCTTGTGTGGGCAAACTGGTGAGGTTAGAAGATACTGTTTGAGCTCAGTAAAAATGTTTTTGGGATTTGTTGCTAAAGTTCAAAGAAAGTAGTCTTCCTAGGTAAATCTTTAGAAAACTTAGGAAAGATAAAACTTCATCGTCCCTGCTTGTGTGTGAATATAATGAATTTTTCTGCTTGCTTTTTCTATGCGCATTATTTATTGCTGTGAATCAGCTCATTGACTGTCAATATGGAAGATGTTTGCCCATCTGTCAAGTAATTCCATTCTTTTATCATTCTGTATAACATATAATACTGCACATTTGTATCAAATTGTATCAATTGTATACTCTCAAATTCTACTCAAATATAATTATTCATCTGTTCCATTTTTTATAGGACTCGTCAGCCTGTCTCAACCCCTCTCTTTTCATGTCCTGACAAAAATAAAGTTAATTTCATCCCAACTGGATCAGCTTTCTGTCCTGTAAAACTTTTGGGTCCTTTATTACCTTCTTCTGATCTGATTCTCAAAGGCTGTCCAAACTCTAGTCAAAGCACATCTTTGAGTACTCTGACTGTGGATCAGCTTTCTTCTCGGGTTACTTTCTCTTCTCTGTTGGATGACACCAGCACAAGGGACTCTTCAGAGATCTTAGTACAACAGCCATCCCAGCAATCTCCACAGCTTTTGCAAGAACTGCAACCTGAAGAACACTCCCCTCCTCAAAATTATGTTGTAATCTAGTACAAAATAGACAGTTGGTGTAAAACATAATTGCATGAGTGGCCACTTTTCCAGGAAAAAAAAGCTATTTTTCAGCATCTTTCTATATTTCAAAGCTCTTCTTGGCAGGGATGGAAATGCTCTGATTCAGCATTTTTGTATTGTGGGGAGCAAAATGCTTGCAGAATATATCATTAAGCATTTTAAGTGGAGACTACGCATTTCATAGAATGATGAGAGTAGTACTGTTTCCTGTGTTTTTCTTTTTAAAATTCTACAGTATAAATAAGCTCTGTATCAAACAAAGGTTGCCTGTCTAAATAGAAAATGTTTTGCTGTGTTGTGTTCTATAGAAGATACTGTATTTCAAGATTATGTTTACAATTTATCCAGGTATTTATGTTTTAAATTTCTGTGATACATACAATGTAGAAAAAGAAAACCCAAAAGAAAAATGACCACAACAGTTGCACAGTGCCCACCTGAGGGCATAGCTTCAGGTATTTCTCTCAAAGTCTAAACTCAGGTATCTTGGAATGTATATCATACTGGGATATAAAATATTTTACAGCTGAAAAGCTAAAGAGGGATCATCACTCTTCTGCCTTTTTATTGTTTATGCATTAATAGTTCCTCATTACATTCCACTTACTTTGAGGAAAATACATTCAGATCCAGAGAACTATTACTTTGGTGAACATGAGGAAAGCTAGCAAATTTGTGATGTACAGCTTCACTTCATGTCATTACAAGTAAAACAACTGTTGCATTTCATTTCATTGTGGCAATTATGGCATTGAAAAGCATCAGGTGTTGCACAGTTAATGACTGTTAAGCTGTTCTGAATAAAGTGTTGTTATAACACTGTACATAAGCAACATTCCATGGTGAGTGTGTGCGTGTGAGAGAGGGGGGGGTGGAGGGAGAGAGAGAGAGATGCCTAACAAAGCCAAGTATACTTTTGTCGATTTCCACAAATTTGCCAGGTTTGGGAAGTTGATAGGAATTTTCTCTCAAGCTTGTGCTGGTGAGTTAAGGTTGTGAAATGCTACTGTTACAATATTAAGAGTCTAATTAATGTTTAGTTTCTCTTTTGGGGAAATACTAACTTGTGTCTTTGTTGCTAAAAAATTCTAAATTGTTTTGACAAGCAATGAATGATAAATTATTTTATCTATAAAATGTGTATATCACACCTGGATTAAGAAAAATCTCTTAAGCAGCATATAACGTATTTAAAAAAACAACAACAAAAAGGTAAGGAAAAAAGCAATAGTTGTTAAGTTATATTATCTATTCAAAGTCTTTGTAATATCCTAGTAAATTTATTTTTCATTAGACTGCTGAAGTTTGTCTTCAAAACAGCTGCGCACCCATGGAACATCCAGCAGCATTTTTCACTGCTCTGAAACCGCAAAAGCAGTGGTTTTGGAGATAATAATCGGCAGAAGAAAGGGGACTCCAAGACAAGAAGCATTTAATATTCCCGTGTCTCTGCTTTTGGCTCTGTGCGAGTAGTTTTATGCAGGGTTTGACTCTTGTTCAGAAATGGAAAAGGTTGACATGACTGCAGCTTCTGTATTTATGCCCATTTAATTATTTTCTTTTGAGGACAAGTTGGGGCAAGAAGAAAGGGGATAATAAAGGTGCCTAAGAAAAGACATGGAAAATAAGTAGCTGCTACATGTTGTATGGCTTCCTTTGTATTATTACCAAAGAGTTTGGTAAAAAAAAAAAAAAACTGTTAGGGAAGGTAGACCAGTGGCATTTATATGGCTGTAGAAGCAGGCTGAGTGAAAGTTAAAGATTAGTTACTTTCACACAGGGTTTTTTGGTCTGTTTTTTTTTTTTCCTTTTGGGAAAAGGTATATATAATCCTACTAAACTCAGGCTTTGGCGAAAGTGCTATATAATTTTTGTGTTAAGGTATAAGGAAAAAGCATTCAATTTTTCTGACAAATGTGCATTCTTTAAAGTTTTACTTTTAAGTGTTAAAGTGCATTTCCATTTTTATTCTTGAGCCGTTTTCAAATGTAACAATAGCTTGATTCTTAATGTTAGGGTTTATGAAAAGCTCTGTCAGATCAAGAATGAATTCTGTGTACAATATTTACAGTGATACTGCTTGTTCTGTTTCATGAGAAACTAAATATTAATTATCACTTGCATTTGTTTTTAGCTTATTCAAAAATTCTGAATAAAATATATTAAAATTAATGATTTGTGATGTAAATTTTCCAGCAATTATTGATCTCTGGTATATCCTACATTCATTTGTAGAAGATTGTAAGATACTGTTTCAAGCGTGTTGTGTATAGTTGTCATTTCCAGCCTCTGTGCTGAGCAGTATTCAAATTACCACATATTTGCTTTACCCCTGAAAAAAACTGTTTTTCAGTATAAAAGTTCCTATGCCTATTTAAATGAAATTATTAGGAAAACATACACTAAAAACTGCAAGTATAATATGACTGATTTATTTGTAAACTAGATAAAAGGTGTAATTGAAACAAAAGAGATGAGATTTTGAACTTCCCCACTGCAGACATAAATTGTCACCTGTTTTGCTTTTAGTTGAACTTCATGTCTGTTCATGGGAAGAAAATCAATTTGAAGTTTAAGATATTTATCTTCATGCTTATGAAAAAAGAGTAGTGAGACTTAAGATGCTTTATATTTCATAGAATGCATCAAACCACTTTATTTTAGTCATCAACCAGAAAATCATAGGGCGGGTATCATTAGTTAGGTTTTCTAAGCAGTAATCCAATTTTGTCCTTCAATTGTATATTTAATCAAACCAATTCATTTATTTCTCCCATAAGATGGTGTAATATAATATGATAAATACATAACATTTCTGAAAATATTAGCTTACTTACCCTGGATAAGCACGTTGTTTAATTTCTTACAGTTTTAATATAAACCATACTGATTCAATGACTGACTGACTTATTTCTTGTTATAAAGATGTCCATTTTATTTTTTTTTAATATATTTTTATTAATTTTCTTTTTTTTTAACATTATAAAACATGGTATCAACAACGTTCTTGGCATCTGTACAAGATTTTGGTTTAAATATAATACATTATATTGCATTTACTATTAAATAATATCTTTAGCTATAATTACTATTCTTATATCTTTAGTTTACAAAATGTTATTTTACTTTCTTAAGGGTTGTTTCGAAGATGTCCATTTTAATGTGATAAATATATTTATAAAATATAAATAAATATATAAATAAAAAAGTATTCCTATCCTAAAAATGGCAAAGAAGAGCATAAAGCAACCTTTGTGGCATCTTCTGCTAGTAATATCAGCTTTGGCAAAATGAATGTACTGAAACATTTCTCCTGAAAGATGAAGCTCATCCAGAGTAGAATATTTTATGTTCAGATCTGTGTGTTTTAAATTTTTTATATTTTAAGATAACCCATGTATCCAACCATGCTGGGCAATACAAAAAATTGGTTCAAATAAGCCATTTTTGTGCGTGTGAAAACAGCCAGGTTTCTGTTTGACATAGGATATTTTACAGAATCCACTCTAGTTCTGCTTTACTTACTAGGTAAAAGATAAGAGAGATTTTTGCCATCCTGCCTTGTTAGATTTGCCTGAAACTATTTCCAAAAATCAGCCCAAACTACAAGGCTTTATTTTTTTTATATTATTATTATATATTAATAAATGTTTATATATATATGTATGTGTGTGTGTGTTTTCTTAAGTTTTCGCGGGTACTTACATGTATGGCATTCAGCTTTGTTCGGGTATTTTGCCACATCATTGTAGTTGTGCTTTTAAAGTTGTAGCAACGTTTTGGAAGAATCTCATCTGCCATCATCAGGCTTCTGTATTCTGTATTGTGTCCGGACACAATACAGAAGCCTGATGATGGCAGATGAGATTCTGCCGAAACGTTGCTACAACTTTAAAAGCACAACTACAATGACATGGGAAAATACCCGAACAAAGCTGAATGACATACATGTAAGTACCCATGAAAAGTTAAGAAAGCATGTATGTATGTATGTATGTATGTATGTCCAGGTGTTTGCCTGGCTTGTAGTGTGGAGCACAAACAGATCCCCCCTGATACCTCCAGCTCAAACACACCCCAACCAGGCACCCAGATGAAACCTAGCTTCCTAACAAATGATAGCCGTCCATTTACTCGGAGCCAAGCTGCACTAAAAGCCTCCAATACAGGAACACAATGTGGCCAGCCAATCGAGACATAAAAAAAGCCACAAAACAGACAGAAGATACTAAAAACACCAATCAAGCAGAACACAGCAAACTCCAAGACACAGACCAAGACTCCCAACCAATCAGGATGAAGGAAAAACCATTCTGGCACAGCAATAGGCTAGCTCCAAATTTAAACTGAAACAACTGTAAAAGTCTGACTCACAGATGAACACAATACAGAAGCCTGATGATGGCAGATGAGATTCTGCCGAAACGTTGCTACAACTTTAAAAGCACAACTACAATGACGTGGGAAAATACCCGAGCAAAGCTGAATACTATACATGTAAGTACATGCGAAAACTTAAGAAAACAAATATATATATATATGTATGTATGTATATATGTATGTTTTCTTAAGTTTTCGTGGGTACTTACATGTATGGTATTCAGCTTTGTTCGAGTATTTTCCCACGTTGTTATAGTTGTGCTTTTAAAGTTGTACCAACGTTTCATCAAAAATAAATACCAACCAGCTAAACACCTCATGGAACTAGCAGAACACTGCTTAACCAACACATTTCATATACAAAAGACAAAGATACAAGCAAATTGAAGGAGCCCCTATGGGATCACCACTGTCACCCGTCTGCAAACCTGTTCATAGAAGAATTCGAACCCAGAGCCCTGGCTAACGCCACCCACAAACCCAAACTATGGTTAAGATACATCGATGACACATTTGTGATTTGGCCCCATGGAAAAGAAAACTAAATTTCCTAACACCTAAACAGCACACACACCAATATCAAGTTCACCAAGGAAATGGAAACAACTTCCATTCCTAGATGTACTAATCTACAAAAAAAATAGATGGCACACTAGGATACACCATATACCAGAAGAAAACACACACCAACCGCTACCTCAACGCCCAATCCCACCACCACCCAGCACAGATAAACTCTGTGGCCAAAACACTAATCGCCAGAACCAAATGCCTGGCAGACAAGACGCACATAAAGACTGAACTATGCACCCTGACTAGAGTACTGACAGTCAACAGCTTCCACAAAAGCAAAATCACCGGCTTGATCCACAAAAACACTGAGACATAATGGAGACCTAGAATATGAACAGACCTATGGAACAGCTGTCCTGTCCTACATAAGAGGTACTACAGACAAAATCAGTAAGATACTACACAGGCATCACATCAAGACTGCCTTCAAAACAGACAGAAAAATAGCCATCCTTAGAAACCCCAAAGATAAAATTGACCTGGAAAACCAAGGCCTATATGAAGTCCCCTGTGCATCATGCCTGGCCACATACATTGGACAGACCAATAGAAGAATAAGTACCTGCCTGGATGAACACAAAAATGCAGTAAAAAATCTGGAACACACTTCCTTACTAGTCCAACACATGAAAGCCACAGGTCATAGCATCAACTTCAATGGCACTAAAACCCTAGCCACTATAGAAAACCCCAGCCACAGCATTATCAGAGAAGCCATAGAGATTGAAAAAAGACCTGAAAGCATAAATAGAAGAGATGATTCCACCAGACTGTCAATTATCTGGAAGCCTGCACTCACAAACAAAAAAATCTCTACACCACTTCCGGTTGTAAGGCTTCGGCAGTGGCAGGAATCCGCGATCGTGCGTGGTTCCTGCTGCGCTCGCTGCTGAAGTGCCTCCGATCCAGCCGGGTTTGGAGGCTGTCGTTACCCCGTAGAGGTAATGGAAGACAGAGGAGATCCGGGCAGGGGTCTGGGGATATCGCATCCCCTTTCCCCAGCTGGCTAGACTCCTTTTTCCTAAGGCGGTGGAGCGGTCATCAGCAATGGCCGCCACAAAGAAACCTTCAGCCGGACAAGATCATGCAGGAGGAAGTGTCAGAAAGTGAAAGATTTTTGGCTGAACCGGGACTCTAAGATATATCTAAATATCCTGGAACTTAATTTTTTTTTGAATGATATATTGTTTCCAAAGGAGATTGTGAAAGCGGCGAATGAAAGTGTTAAAAGTGAAAGTTTACTCTCCTTCCTTACGGAGATAGCAAATGGACATTGAAAAACCTGCTTTGGCACAGAAGGTAAAAATCAAAAGTTTTTTGCTATAAGTGGGAAGGGAGAGGTAAAAAAAAAACACTTATATTAAGATCTTGCTGGAGGAGACGGCTTGGAATTTATAAGATTAGAGATTAACTGCAATAATGACTTCAAAAATATATTTTGGAACTTTGTAATTGATATTGCCCGAGGAGGAGAAACTAAAGAGAAGAAGGTGCTAAATGAAACCTTTTTTTGTTTGTTTGGATTGCTTAATGACTTTGGGACTTTTGGAAACTACTCTAAGATTAACAACATTTGGGTTGTTTTAAAAGAAGAAGAAGGAGAAGGAGGAGGAGGAGGAGGAGGAGGAGGAGGAGGAGGAGGAGGAGGAGAAGAAGAAGAAGAAGAAGAAGAAGAAGAAGAAGAAGAAGAAGAAG